TTCGGGGGCGGAGGACGTCATGTACAGTATCATAACAATTAAATAGTAAAGAAAGTACACATCACCATAATATAAATATATTTGAAAAGTTTACATGATTGTATGTGTTACATGTTTAAATATCAAATACAATATGGTGATCCAAAATATGTTACTAACGCCAGCGCGTTAGTCTTCAAAAAGTAGTTGCTACCTGACTTAGCGTTTTCCTGATAATACAAGTTATTTCAAAGAAAAAGTGTCAACAACAAAGTTGGTGAGTTCATAAGTAGTGTTTTGATAAAATGTATGCCATTCGAAAGTTCGTGTATGATTTCCAGAAAATCCGATATTTTCTAACAATTGTATGTAATGAGTATGAAAGATCGTTGTATAAACTGTATGTATTTGAACCAGGAAAATCCTATATTTTCCTAAATGAGATGCAGTCTTAAATGTCCAAGACCGTAACCTGTAAGCAAATATGACATGCTCAAAAGATGATGTATAGTCTTATTATAAAACAAAACTACAAGAAGATTTGTATTTGAATGTGAAAAGAACTGTATTTGTTACTTTTCCCCATTAAAACGTAATATCATAATAATTGTCTATCCAGTGAGTTTTCATAACCGTACTATCATAATTTGCCTGTAGCGACATTCTTCAGGCGTCGAAATGAGATGACACTTGTCACCCCGGGGACTGTAGCTAGCAGTCAGGGCGCGAGATCATTAGTCCCGTATAGATCTATACACACTTGTCACGTTCTCCGGACGGGAGATTCTGGTTATAAACAGGACTTCTAGTGGTACCTTAAAAGGTATATTGAAGATGAATGCCTCACGAATTCTCAATTAAGTCACGTATTAAAATGTATATGTTTGTTTCTATAACGATTATCCTTTTTCATAATGATAATAAAGGCATAAAATGATTTGTATGTTCTTGTATGTATAAAGAGGTCATAACGAAAGTGGTTACCCTAAATATGATGTAAACGTATAAATAGAGCTTATGATAATTATACTCATATTCCATTCCGTGAGGGTAAAGTAAAGTAAGATGTTTTGTATGTTAGACATGATCCATATGATAGTTGTTAAAAACAATCTGAAATGTATAACGAAAGATAGATGTTTTCACACAAGATTTAACCGTGTGTTTACTTGTATTCTCCTCCGTAAAGTGTTCAAAAGTATTTAAAATCAGTTAAAAGCGTAGAAATGGGGGTATGAACTCACCTGGTAGTTTGAAGAAAGTGAGACAAAAGTCGAGCAGAACTTCGACTGGAGAAAGCTGAATTCTCGGGATCCTTGAGAATCTCGGGAACGTAAAACGTCCTTCAGGACTTTGAATATGATAACCGGGGCTTCGGGATGGCTTCGAGAGGTTAAACGCATAGCATAAGCACGACAAAGGGAAGAAGTGAGCAACTAAACTCGGAAAACCCTTGAGATCTATTTATAGGCCAACTTTTGGGGTCTCACGTCGTGAGCATAGGCTTGCTCACGTCGTGAGTTTTGATCCTATCCTCTTCCAAGCACGCGACGTCTACTGACAACTCTGGAACCCATCAATCACGAGCTCACGTCGTGAGCATGGTTCCCTCATGTCGTGAGGCTGAGTCAGCCTCGGGTTTTGTGTCCCGAACTTGTAAAATCCGTAACTTTCGCGTACGAGCTCCGATTTCGACGTTCTTTATATGCACGCGTAGGTGTGAAAAGGCTCTACAACTCTCGTTTAGACTCTATCGACTAATTTTGACTTTATTTTTATTATATTATTTTTAACAGGCCGGGCCTGGAAAAGTCCGTTTAAATTCCATAACTCCTTCATCTGATGTCCATTTTCGTCAGACTTTTTACTGTTGTACTCCTAATGTCGGGGTCTTCAACTTTCGTTTAGGTTGTGTCGGCTAAACACCGCTCGATTTCTATTTCGAGTTTTTAGCTGTCTACTGCTAGGTCAGAAACTTCGAAAAATCATAACTTCCTCATACGAAGTCAGATTTGGGCGTTCTTTTTATGTATTGGTTTAATGATATCTACGACTTTCATTTAGATACTTAAGGCTAAAAAGTATTTTATCGGAATTTCGTATTTTACGCTTAACAGTGTTTGTCGGTTTTGTGCGGATCTTCGATTGGTCATAACTCCTTCGGATTTTAATGTTCTTTATGTTTTGGAAACCTTGTTACGATATCTACCACTTAGTACACTCAAAGTGAGACTTTCGAACATTTCATTTTTGATGTTATATTAATTAATCCACAAAGGGATTATCATATTTGACTTTTAGTCGTTACATTGACCTGAAATATCGGGTTGTTACAAACACCCACTCTCAAACAAATTTTATATATATATATATATATATATATATAGAAAGCATCTATCAAATTCATTTTATTACATAAATATTCATGTTTATTAGAACATAAAGACTTGGTCAGAATATCAACAATATTATGATCAGATTCAATTTTTATAACCTGAACAACACCTTTAGAAACTTTCTCTTTAATAAAATGAGAGTCAACATCAAAATGTTTAGACATTTCGTGAAATACAGGATTAAGAACCAATTTTATAGCTGGCTCATTATCACAAAAAACTAAAATAGGCATTAAGTTATTAATCTGTCAATCACGCAAAACTTTCAAAATCCATACGATCTCACAACAAATTGATCATAAAGCACGATACTCAGATTTTGTAAAAGAGCGAGAAATAGTTTCATGTTTCTTACTCCTCCAAGATATAAGAGAATTACCAAGAAATATAGTATAACTAGCTACAGATCTTATGGAAATAAGACATTTTGCCCGATTGGCATCAACATAGCCCTTTCACTGCTACAAAAACAACCTTTTACGACACCCAATCTGTGTCGTAAAAAGCTCAGACGACACGCAAATGCGTGTCAAGGAAGGCCCTATCATAACGAAAGACGACACGCCTTTGCGCGTCGTCTATTTACGACACGCCTTTGCGCGTCGTCTATTACGACACGCATTTATGACACACTCTTACGAGACGCATTGCGTGTCAAGGAAGGCCCTGTCATATAAAGGAAGACGACACGCATTTGTGTGTCGTAACCTTACGACGCGCGTTTACGACTCGCATTGCGTATCATTAAAGACCCTGTCATAAAGAAAGACGACACACATTTTTGTGTGTCATAATTTTAAACGGTTTAGTATATATATATATATATATATATATATATATATATATATATATATATTAACTTTCAAATGAAACAACACATTTAAAGTATCATAATACAAAATAAAATACTTAAATAAGAAAACAATCCATTTCATATAATGTATTAATATTAAAAAAAATCACATTTAATTGTTATTTTATTAACATCAGTCAAACTAGAAAAACAAATCTTCCTAATCCAAATAACGAAATACATAAAACACAAACTATTTTAGAAATTTGGATCTTTGTTACTTGTGTGCAATGTAATAGCTCCTCTTTTTATTAACTACCATAGTGCTGATTCGGCTTCTTCCGCTGTTTTAATCCCCTGTCATTTGTCTGTATCTTGTCCCATCTAAAAAATCACGACCAATACGAGGTTTTCTGAATATCACTCTTCTTGCAGGAAGATTCACCCCAGCTGCTAATGTTGATGTGGCAGTTAACACACGTACTAGACCCTTACGATAGCAGTTTTCAACAATTTCTCTTTCTTCAGTCTGTAAGTAATAATCAGAAATGAAATTTCTTGAAAGCTTCAAAATCTAACTTAAATAATAATGGGAAGGAGTGTATAGTATTAGTATATATACTGTGAGACCATCATGATGATAGGCAACACCTGAAGAATGTGTTTTAGATAATACAAGATCTAATCCTGCTGGAGATTTTTGCAATGCATCAATGGCAGAAGCAATATCAGGATATTGACTTTCACCATTGAAGGTGTTGAAAGGGAATTGGTTAAGGTACTTGGCAACATGCCTAGCAGTTGACTCACATCCTTTACGACTGGAGCAAAAGATCAACACTGAATGACCCTCTTGAACAACCTAATACAATATGCAATCTTATTTCAGTAAATGCAAAGATAAAATGTAAGAATTTATATATCAAACAATATACCTCATTGCATATTTCTATGATACGATCAGGATCTTTACCACCAAGATCAGATCTTTTTAGGATTGTTCTTACAAGTTCCATCTTTTTTGTTATAAATTGAGTTTCCAACTTTGATATACTCCTCAAGTGGAACAGGTCAGAAATCTGTCTGGTATAAACCTGCCTGAAAAACTAATTTTATTTCAATAACAATATAAGGGTTACCAAACATTAACTAGATATAAAGCATTCAGCCACTTAATAAGGTAGTGTTTTCAGATTCTTGATATGCATGACCAATGTTTTCTACAACTTACTTGAAGCCAATCAGCAATAACACTGACATTGGGCAAGGTGGCACTCGGTTGTGCAAACAGCTACAGAGTTATCTTTAGGAAGTGTGCCACCACTTTGGCTTCCATAATAACTACGAACACGCACACCAATTGGTTCAAGTAACGCTTCAAGATGTGATACCTGCATCACTTAAAGACAAATAATCAAGTTTAAGGACATACATATTACATATTTTAAATACAACTCTCAACAAATACAATGCACAAGTAAGGCAATAGTCCACCTTCTGTGTACAAATGGACACATAGGGAAGAACAAGAATTGCCATACAATGCCTGCATCACTTAGACCCATTTTTTAAACAATTTCATTACTATATATGATAATTAAAAAGGTTGTGTAGTATATTACTATATATATACCTGCTAAACCAGGTTGATGCCTTTCAAATTTGTATGTAGGTGTAAATGTGATAACAGCTTCACGCATTCCTTGAAAAACACTTTCGGCTTTCATTTCCATATGTAATTGATCTTTCTCTCTAAGCCAATTGAAGCTTCTTTGAGAGATATATCATCAAGCTGATAATTAAAGTCGCCTAAAAAGACAACCATGTATGCTTCAGATAGCTATCTGGCGACTCATCCACAGACAGGCTACCCACAGCCTGAAAAAATAGAAAGTGAAAATTGGTCATTTTGGGATAAATTTTATTTCCAATGGGTCAAATGGGTAGAGAATGTACCTACATTTGAAATATGAACCATAGAAGTGACTCCAGCTACAAAAGTAAAGCAGGTCGGAAGAGAGAATCCAAAGTGAATAAGATGGGGTGGCAAGCAAGCAAAATAAGAAAAGGTATGACATCATAATCATACCAGTTGATGTATTCAGAAGATTTGATGGTCGACTGAATGACATTGTTTTGTATATATTGTTAACAACATCTAGATGTGCAGCAAAGTGACAGTTCACAAAACATATAATCCACCCACTGATTCTCATCCTCAATCCAACAGGTGGATGGAGATGAAGAGGTATTTGTATGGATCCAATTTGTATGGTTGGAATAGGAGATGCTATTAAAGAAGGCCCAGAAAACAACCCAAACTGGAGTTTGACTGGTAAATCTATCTGAATTGGTACATAAGGTAATGCATGTGTAGTGGCAGAAGAATCTGATGTGGCATTTTGAGGCTGAACAACTGATTCATTAATCACTGAATTGACTGAATCAACTGCATCTTGTTTTTCTTCTGGTGTCCCAATTGTATTCACATCGGTTTCATCACCTGGGATTCTAACTTCAACACCTTCATTGAATCCCAAGACTAAATTTTCCATCACATTACTCGTGCCTTTCTATTCAATACCCATATGCTGAAATTCCTATGTCAGGTTTATATTCTTATCGTTTCCTTCATGAGCTTCATCTTGACCTCCCATATGGATAAAGCTTATTTGACTCTAAATTATTCATATACAAACTATTTCCATGAGAATTCCCCTATCATGTCCATGTTTTCCTTCCTCCCTTTCCTTGAATTGGATTCCATGGCACCAAATGGATCATATATTGTAACTTTTAATAGTATATCTTCCACTAGCACCTTCAGCATTGTCATATGAAAGTTTGAGAGCATTGTGCATGTATCAGGGGCAATTGTGGAACATGACGTAATACTATTTGGTTGGTTAAGCCCATAAAACCATGAACCCTAAAAGGCATTCTAGTAAGCTTTCCATTTAGCTCTGGCAACACCTTTCTCACAGCCTAATTTTTTTTATAAAATATAAAAAGATTTATAAAAAATAATATAAAAAATTAAAATTTCATTTTATATAAGAATAATATATACCTTGGCAGCACCAGTGGAACTAGGGATGATGTTTTCTGCAGCGCCACGTCCTCCACGCCATTCCTTCATTGAAGGTCCATCAACCGTTTTTTGTGTAGCTGAAAACAAATAATATAACAACAATTCAATTCATTTAAATAAAAAATTTATATATAAAGAGAATGAAAAATGAAGATTTGAATATATGTCAACACCTGTGGTTGCATGTACAGTTGTCATCAAATCTTCAATGATACCAAACTCCTCATGAACCACCTATATATACAAATAGAAAGAGAACCACTATATAAAAACATTAAGAGCTGTTTCTTTTTTAATTAAGCATTTAACCATTCAGCCATTTTATCCATACATACAGGAAAAGATAAGTACCTTGGCTAAAAGGGCTAAGCAGTTAGTAGTACAGCTGGCATTGGATACAATATCCATGTTTGGTTTGTATGTGGTCTCATTTACCCCTACAAAAAACATTGGTGCATCAGCTGATGGAGTTGATATCACCACCTTCTTAGCACCACCCTGCACATCGAGTCATTCACACCAACAAAATCAGCCCAGGGGTATAAACATCTTTTAGAAGTGTGCCAAAATTTGTTGGTTTACATTTACCTTCTTGTGGCTGGATCTCTGAACATAGTCAGCTCCAAAATCACCCCATCAAATTGTGGCTGGATCTCTGAACAAAACGTGAGTTTTATTTCTTAGGATAAAAAAAGTAAATTCACAAGTAACAAAAGGGATAAATATATACCTTTGGCTGGTTACTTTTATTTGCTTCCCATTGATTTTTAAAGTAGACTCATCAATAACCTTGATGGTTCCTTTGAATAAGCCATGAGTAGAATCATACTTCAACATGTAAGCCTAAAAAGGGCAATCATAAATCATGAATCATCTCACAGTTATCTTTCAAATAAATTGATGTAATTTTTACAAAATCATCATATGCTTAACCCCTTACCATGTACTTGGAATCAATAAAAGGGTCGTTGACTGCAACAACCTCAATATCATCTCTAAATGTTTCTATTCTCAAAACTAACCTTCCAATTCATCCAAAACTTGCAAGGTTGATGTTCTTTAAATTCTACCCATACGCAGAAACATTAAGACCATTATTTTCATTATTTTATCTGATGAAGTATATGTTCAAAAGTAAATCTGGAAACATAGAGTGAAAAACCTAAGAATTTTGAGAAAGCATACCATTGATTCCAACCATGGTCTTCCCTCCGGTACTGGTCTCTATGGAAAATCAAAGCAGGGAGAATTTGTTACAGGAAAATTTTAAAAAGTAGCTTCAGCATAACATCGAACAGATAGAAGGCGTGCTATGAACGCTTATACAACTTCTTACTTGAAACAGCAAGAGGTGCCCGAGTTGATGCCCTGGGCAGTGGCCCAGGTCGCCTTGCCCTTGGGTCGGCCTTGGCTCTCCTTAATCCATCTGCATTGTTCCTCAATACTCAATGCTTCAGGGACCTCTAATTTATGGATTCAATTGATGTTCCTCAACAGAGAAACATCATTCAGCAGAAAAATGGATAACAGAAAAGGTAGAATGGAGAAGAAATATCGAGAGAAAAAAAGAGAGAGCGAGAATATAGATGTTCGAGAATGAGGGACCATCAACTTAACTGATGGGAGGAACAACAAACATATTTTGCGAGATAATTTATGGAGGAGCAACGGCCACCTTTACCTTACACGATGCTTGAATCGTACCTATCTAGGGCTTCTCTAGTTCATAGATGGCGATAGGGTGAAGTTATAAAACCCATAATCTCCTTGTAAGTCTGACACAGGCACAATGTAACGAGCCCTAAATCGTAGTCTTGTGAGCCTGAGGATCTGTAAATGGTTGCCGGCGGGAAGAGGTAAGCGAAGGACGCCAGTATGAAGAGGTTATCGGAGATGAGTGGAAGTGAGAAGATGCAGCGAACCTTGTAAAGCACATGATTTAAAAAAAAACCTAGATCCCCTACGATTTTGTTATAAGATAAATAGTCAGCGCGCATTTCAAGAATTATAAAGCGACATGCTTGCACGACACGCTTTTTTTAATGGCCGCCCTCCGTGTTTTTTTTTAATTTTTCTGACACTAATTTTAGGTCACGCAAAAATGCGTGTCCTAAATCCTTCACATTTTTTCGGAGGTGACATTATTTTTAGGGCACGCACTTTTGCGTATCATAAATCGTCGCGTGTCATGGTTCGCACGTCATTAAAGGCCTATATTCTAGTAGTGTTTAAAGAAAAACATTTAGATTGTGATGTATTTATACCTTTACCGGGATTATACTTTAGAAATCGAAGTAAACGGATAGCAATATTCAAACGAGATTTTCTAGGATTGTGCATAAACTGACACAAAACCTGAACAATGTAAGATATATCTGGTCTAGTAATAGTCAAATATATTGACTTACCAACTAGTTTTTGAAATTCAGTGACATTTTGAAGCAAAGTATCATGTTGATCTACACCATCACTCTTAATGACAACATTAGGATCCAACGGATTCTATATTGGTTTACATCCTAACATACAAAACTCATGTAACAATTCCAAGCAATATTTCCTTTGAGTTAGTCAAATATCATCAACATAAACCAGGAGAACAAAAACAAAATCATCCCTAGTCCTAAAAAATAATGAGAAATCATTAAGACTTTGATTAAACCCAAACTCAAAGAGAGAAGAACAAAGATTTTATTCCACTTTCTAGGGGCTTGTTTAAGCCCATAAAGTGATTTTAAAAGTTTTCAAACTCTGTTATCTCCATTAGTATGATAACCAAGAGGAAGACTCGTGTAAACATCTTAATCTTGGTCACCATACAGAAATGCATTATTAATATCAAGTTGAAACAATTTCCAATTAGAATTTATAGCCAAAGAAATAACAATTCTAATAGTAACCAATTTTGCAACTGGAGAGAAAGTCTCTTAATAATCGAGACCTTCTCTCTGATTATAACCTTTGGCAACCAATCTTGTCTTATATATTTCAACTTCTCCATTGGACTTATACCTTATTTTATATACCCATTTACAACCAATATGTTTTCTATTTGGTGGCAAATCAGTAACTAGCCATGTATTTTTTATGTATAATGCCTCCATTTCCTCATTCATTGCCTTTATCCAATTTGGATCAAGACTAGCTTCATAATAAGTTTTAGGTTCTACAATTTTATTAAGATTAGTTACAAAACAAAAGTTCTCATAATTCAAATAAGAGTAATTAATAGTCTTTTCAATCCCATATTTATCCTTTCCTTTAATTATATAATCACTAAACTTCTGAGGTAATGTAGACTCACGAGTAGACCTCCTAATTCCTACAGAGTGATGCTTAGGAAGAGAAGATAAATACTGATCAATTTCCTCATAAATATGAGAATCAGTAGAAACCATATCAGGTTGCAGAGTGTGAGATTCATCACTATAAACACCATCATGTCCATATTCAGTTGCACTCAAAGATTGACTACTATTCAGACCAGACTCTATTGCATCAGTATGATAACCAAGACTAGAACTACCTTCTTGATTGCTACTATCATAATCTCTACTGGAAATAATATCATTAGAATTTCCAAGTACAAAAATTTCATCATTGGAAAATGGATCCAAAGAGACATTTTTATTTGATGAAGAAGACTCTAGAATTTTAGATTCATTGATAGAACTAGAAGACAACTTGTAAGGAAATAAAGATTCATAAAACTTCACATCTATGGAATAGAAAATAACTTTCTTATCAAGACTGAAAATTTTATAACCATTCTTTTCATTAGAATAACCAATTAAAAAACACTTTTTAGACCTTTCAGAAAATTTATCATTGATATTCAGTTTAGTAGAAAAACAAAGACATCCAAACACTCTAATATTATCAAAATTAGGAAGACATTTATAAATCATTTCAAAAGGACATTTACCATTTAAAACAGAGGAGGGAAATCTATTAATCAAGAAAACAGTTGTAAGAATAGCTTCACCCCAAAATCTTTTAGGTAAACCAGACTAAATAAGCAAAGACCTTGTTACATTTAACAAACACATATGTTTTCTTTCAAGAACTTCATTATGTTAAGGAGTATGAATACAAGATGTTTGATGTGAAATTCCTTTATTTACAAAAAAAAATCTTCATTCTATGATTAACAAATTCATATCCACTATCAGACCTAATATTTTTAATTTTAACAGAAAAATGATTTTCTATAAAACATAAGAAACCATTAAAACAAGAGAATACTTCTTCCTTGGATTTCATTAAGTAAACCCAAGTTGCCCTTGAGAAATCATCAACAAGAAAATATCTAAAACCCCCAGAAGCAATCACTTTATATGGACCCCAGACATCTAAGTGAATAAGTTCACAAAGACAACTAGTTTTATGACTACATAAAGGAAAAGGTTCTCTAGTTTTCTTAGCCTTGTGACATATATCACCAGGAGGAATATATTCATTAACAAATTTTAAATGAGGTTTAAGAACATTCAAAGACTGATCAATAGGGTGTCCAAGTCTATTATGTCAGGTTAGTTTAGAAACATAACAAAAAGATGATTTAGACAAGTAACATATCCTACCCAAAGAATTTTGTTTAAGATAATAAAGACCACTAGATTCATTACCAGTCTCCTTGGACAGTGAATCCTAGATAACACAATTATTTTCATCAAATACAACCATACACTTATTATCTATAAATATTTTATGAATAGAAAGCAAATTTACCTGGAAATCAAGTATAAAAAAGGCATCAAACAAAGAAACAGAATCAGATATATGCATGTTTCCAATCTTAGCAGTTGAACCATTTGGATGATCAACTCTAAGATCTAACTTGGAAACATTAATAATATCACCAAGTTGTGAATAATTGGCTGCCATATGTTGACTAGCACTAGAGTCAACAATCCAATTTTTATTTTTAGAATAAACATTATATCAAACAATACCTGCCATATTAGAAATTCCATTGGCTTCTTCTGAAAATATTTTATCATTTAAAAAAGTAAGAAGTTTAGAGTATTGTTCACTTGTAAGATAATGTTGATCCAACCTATCACCAGACGAAGATGAAGAATAAGGAATAACGCTAACATGAGAGGCAACAACAGGGGAACTCATTGAAGATTTTTTAAACTCAGTTTTTGGTTTAAAATCCTTAGGGTAACCTATTAGTTTGTAACATTTTTCAATAGAATATCCTTTAAAACCACAATTCTTGCATTAAAGACCTTGATTCTTTCCTTTAAACCTCTTATTATCATTGAATTTACCAATAAAGGCGGAAGACTAAATCTTATTTGAAATATTAGAAACAGACCCTTGTTTTTTCTTCGACTCTTATCTAGAAACAATAGAGAATGCAACCTTCACATTAGTTAAAGGTTCCACTATCAAAATATGGATTTTAACCTGATTAAAAGACCTAGCAAGACCACTTAAGAATTACATTAGCTTGATGAGTTTAGATTGATTATTAAACTGTGCAGCAGCTTCACAAACACATTCAGTATATTTAGGCAACCCATCAAATTCCTTCCAAAGACCATCAAGTTTGTTATAAAAACCAGAAACACACAAACCACTATGAGTAAAAGAATTGATGCATTGATGCAAAATGGAAACAACTAATCCATCATCCTTATAGTAAGTATCATATAATTCAGTCCATATATCAAGATCAAATTCAGAACATGCATGTCTAATGTAAATGGAATCAGAAACAAAATTAAGAATCCAAGAACACACAGTAACATTAACACGGTCCAACTTAAAGGACCTAACAGAATCCTTTTAATCTTTGATTTTAGTTCCATCAATAAAGCCATTTTTATTCCTATCAGATAAAGCTCTTGTCATAGAACCCTTCCAAATTCAAAAGTTCTCAGTATGAAGTAGCTTGAAGTTAATGATAGTAGTAACATTATTATCAGATGCATGCAAGTAAAGAAGATCATCAAAATCAACAGTTTCAGTTTTGTTAGATGACTTTCCTGTTTCTTGTAACACCAGTGTTCTAGGTATGTTCATTTGTGGCCCAATTATATTAAAGTGTGCAAATTTTGTCCCTACGTTGGGCGTACGAGATAGGTACGTCGGGTGTAGGCTTGTAAGTGAGGTTCGCGAGTCCCTTGCATATGTTGGGCGTACACATAGGTACGTTGGGCGTACGACTTCAAAGGAAAAACCCTAATTTTTAGGGTTTGGGCCTTATTTAAGGATCATTATGGCCACACACCCTTTCTTAACTCCAACCTCCATCTCGAAACCCTAATCCTTGTTTGTAATATTTGAAGCTTTTTTAGTGACATTTTGGTATTCTTGGTGGTGAAGGAAATCCTTTGAAGTGGTGGCATTGCTCTCAAGCCTTTGGATCCAGACTCTTCTCACCTTTGTGCATCTTTTAGAGGTATAAATTTCAAGTCTTGATGATTGCTTTGATATATTTTGTTTAAGATTAGGTTTATGTTCTTTTGTACCAAAATCTTGATCTTTGTGAGTATTGAATACTCCAGAGCTTTTGAGTTGTCCTTTCAGACATTTTAGAGTGTTTAGTGTCATAAAAATGCAACCTTTGGACCTTGGTATTCTTCCATGCAAGGGTATTGGAGTTTTAGATGGTTGAATGAGTTAGGGTTTTGGTGTTAGGCTCCTTGTAGCCATGCAAAGGCATAAAGGTTGCAACTTTATGGCCTTAGACGTTTTATTAAGCTTGGATCTGAAGGTGGACGTGAAGTCTTAACGCATTAAGATCATTTAGTTGGAGTTTGGACGCCAGGGTATTACGTTAGGCGTAAGGCTCTGCACGCTAGGTGTAGAAGGGTAAAGCCCCATAACCTCCCCTTCATGAATCAAGCTATATGTGGGGCGTAGCAGAGTGTATGTTGGGCGTACTCTCAGATGACCCATTTAGGTCATTTTTGGGCCTTGGGTCTTTAGGGTTTTGGGATTTGATTAGTTAAATCATGAATGGAAAGGGAAAAATGGTCTTTTGCCCTTAGGTAGATAAGGGATGAATTAGAATTTCGTTTATGGGTTAATCCTGATTATTAACTAGGGTTATTATTGAAATATGTTAGTGTGAGGAGTCGTATTAGTAGTTGCTCGTGTGTGCGATTTAGTTATCTTCAGTTAGACGTGAGTCTCCTCACCATATCCTAGGTACGAAGGCACCAATGCCGACCCATTATTCTGTTATGTAGAATTCTAGTTGTCATGTGACTTATATATATATATATATATATATATATATATATATATATATATATGTGTGTGTGTGTGTGTGTGTGTGTATGATCGGGTTGAAATAAACCCCAGGGCGTGGCCCACTATTGTATGATCAGGTTGAAATAAACCCAAGGACGGGGCCAATTATAGTATGAACGAGTTGAAATAAACCCTAGGGCGGGACGCATTATTGTACGATCAGGTTGAAATAAACCCCAGGGTGGAGCCCATTATTATACGATCAGATTGAAATAAACCCCAGGGCTGGCCCATATTTGTTTATTGGGTTGGAATATACCCAGGTGTAACACCTAGATTTCAGGTATTCGTTTTAACCCTTGAGTTATGTTTAATTTGCAAGTTTAGTCCCTGATGGCAATATTATAAATTCAAAAGACCTTTGGAGTACGCGGGGCATACACCCTCGTACGTAGGGAGTACTCCGGAGCGCCTTAGTACGCTGAGCATACGCTGGTATGCAGGACGTATGCAACCTGAGTGCAAACCCTAATTTTTAGGGTTTGGACCCTATTTAAACTCATTTAAGGCCTCAAGCACCTTATTACCTTCAGCCTCCCTCCTCATCTCAAAAACCCTAAGAGTGTTTGTGCTTTGAGAAGCTTGTTGGGCCATTTTGGTGCCTTTTGGAGCTCTTAGAGTAGAAGGAAGAACATTGAAGTGGTGGTGTTGCACTCAAGGCTTTGGATCCAACATTTAGTCCCCCTTGCGCACCTTGTGTAGGTAAAAAGTTTCAAACTTGATGATAGAATCTATTGGATATAGTTTTGCTCAAGTTGTTTCCTTTTTGGTCCTAAACTTAGCCTTTGTGAGTAGGAGGTACTCCAAGGCATTTGAGTTGTCCTTTCAGAGGTTTTTAGGGGTGCTAAGTCATAAAGTTGGGTTCTTGGTCACTAGTTTTCCCCCATGCAAGTGCTAGATGGTCTTAATGGGTTAAGAGGCTATGATTTTTGCTTTTAAGGACTCAATAGCCATGCTAGGCCATAAAGTTGTAAGCTTTATGGCTTAGAACATCTTATATGACCTAGATCTGAAGTTTGGACGTAGGTGCTTAATGGATTAAGCACTTGGTTAAGAGATTGGCAAGGAGCCTCGTATGTCAGGCGTACCGAAGGGTACGTTGATCATACGAGGTCAACGCCATGTC